CTACCACCGTTCGCCTCCCACCATTTTCCCACAGCACCCCTTTCCAGTCTCCTGGAAGCCCCTACCTGCAAGCTTCAAAAGCCAGTCGGCTAGGGGCGCAGCGCTTGCTTCTACACCCGTGGTCGCCAGGAAGCAGCCGCCCTTGCTCATCTGCAGTCTCCCTATGGGTGGAACAGAATTAGCGCTGCCACTACCCATTGGCTGGCGGTCTGCAATGGGGACGCACAATTGGTCTCCGTTTCCGTCGTTCGGAAGGCACAGAACCCGCCCCTCTCCCTGCCCCACCTTTTGAGAGAGGTGGGGAAAGCTGGCTAGGGGAGTGAGGACGGCAGCTATTTACTAATGGGAAGAGTTGATGGTATGAGGTGGTAGTAAGAGTGGCAGTGATTGGTTAGCCCTGGCTGTCTGCGCCTAGGCGGGAGCTCCTGGAAGCCGAGGCAGCGGGTGGGGGCCTAGTGGAGTGGAGGGGTAACAAGATGGCGGCGGAGACGGTGGAGCTCCATAAACTGAAGGTACTGTGAAGGGGGAAAAGGGCTGACTTGGACTTTTTCTGGGGACTGGATTCTGGGAGTGGCTTGTCCACTTTCGTAAGTGTTCTCCTTGTAGGCTCTTCCACTTTTTCCGGCTCCCTCCGTATTTCTTCCTCACTACGCCTGTCCTAATTTCCCATGCTCCTCACGGTTTTATTGTATCTGTACTTGTTATTTCGGCTCCCTTCTTCATCGTTGTATCGTCCGTCACTTCTCTACCGGGTTGTGTAAGTGCCTTCAACCTGTTCTCTTCTCATTTCTCGTCAGAACTGCGTTACGTCAGTGGTCCCACCTCTCTGCCCCATGCCTCACCCTGCACCCCTTTTTTTATCCTGGGTTGATGCTTTCCTATCTCTTGTCCCATGCTGAGGTTCCCGTTAGCAGATGTTGGCATCTTTGTGTATTTCTATCTATTTAGGTCTCAAACGTGATCCAGAAAATACGTCCACTCTTTTTTTTCTTTTTTTTTTAGATGGGGTTACGCTCTCGTGGGAAACCTTGAAACCTGAGGAGGGGCCTCAGAATATAGGTCTCCCCATAGAAACCTGGGGTTTAGGAAACCTTGAGTTAATAAAGGCACAGATAGCTCGGCTTTAAAAGTTTTTTGAGTTCTCTCACGCGGTTCTCCCCCGGCCAGCAAACCCCCGCCCCCTACCTACCTCCAGGCGGACAACTCACTTATAGCTGTAATATTTTGGAAAAGCATTTCCAAGGTTAGGGTTATCTCTGTCCCATTTCATATCGCGATGGACTCTGCATCTCTTGGTATCACCACTGGGTGACACTCTCAATCACCTGTTTAAAGTTGTGCCTTGGGAATCTTGGTAGTTTTCTCACATTTAGATTATTATTATCCTGGAAGAAGAGAATAATTTGTTTTAGGGTGAATTATGAGAATATCTTGGTTAGTTGACCATTTGTGGTTTCACAAGTAGTTTTCCCATTAAATGTTTCGGTCACATCATCCTGGGAACCTTGGACAAACCAAGCTTATTTAGCTGAAGCTGAAAACTGACCCTTTAAAGCTCATTGTAAAAGGGGACATTTGTAATAGTTTAAACAATAAAGATAAATTTTTTTTTTTTTTTAAAGTAAAGCTTGTTGAACTTAAAAACAATAAAAGTAGCGAAAGTAAGGTTAGGGAGAGGTCCTTTTAGTCATTTTTTAGTTGACGTCGATTAGCTTTTTTGTAAAAGCTGATAGATTTCTAACTCTTGGATTCCAAACTGTACTAGTGGTTTTTTGTGTTATTCTGGAGTTACTATTAACTTGGTGGTACTGAAATGTGTAGATTATATCCGTGGTCTCCTATTACCACAAGTAAAAAAAAACAGCAACCACTTCCATTGTATGTATACTTATGTAAATAATGTTATACTGTTATGTATGTCATAAAACATACACAGAAAAGGAATTTTTGAATGAATGAGATAAAAAGGAAATATGAATAGAAGATCAAATATTTTCTTCCTATTAGTCCCATTTTTGAAACCCCTGGAGTAAGCCACTAGCCTTGTGACTTGCCTTTATGGATTTTGTGTTGGTTTACGGAGTTCCTCCTTCCATAAAAGCTGTGTTTGTTTGGACTGTATTAAATTTTATTTTGACTGGATAATGTCCTCTGACCTGATTTCAGGTATTATAGTCTAAGAACATGAGGTACCCCTGACAGCCTAAAAAGTAAAAAGGATTCACTCTTTTAATCACATTTGCTTGTCTTTGCTTTTTCTCTAGAGCACTTCTTAACCTTTTGGAGGTCACAGATATCTTTGAAACTCTGATGAAAGGTATGGACCCTTTCCCCAGAAAAAGGCATGTACACATACTTTGCATGCGATTTGAGGGGCTTCATAAAATTTCCATGTAGCCCTGAGGAGTCCATGGACCTCTGGTTAAGAACCCATGCCTTTAATTCTGACTTCCAGGACAGTTAATGTTTGGTTCCACTGTTGATCTTGATAGAGTAATCTTGTCTTGGGTTTACCTAGGGTTTTATCTCTCTTTTTTTTTAAGTCTTTCCATTTTTATAAAGAAATTTTGGGCTTTTAGAATGGGACCTCAGAGGAAAGGAACAAGCTTTAAAGTAGGAAGAAAAATATCTGAATTGATAGGTAAGTCCACATCAGCTGCAGATTTGTCAAGATTTTGTAGAAATGCCATTCTAACACAGTTGTAGAGACTGAATTGTGGGTGAAAATGCTTTGAACTGTACCAAATTTCCAGTCAATGGTGAGAAAAGGGAGTACTATAGAAGAGAGAATGAGAAGGGTCTGCAAGTTGCCAGAGTGTTGAAAAAGTGAGATGTGTAATTTTGAAGCATAAAGTGCATATATGTTGGTGGTGGTTTGTTTTTAAAGGGAACTGGGTGAATTGTGTGACTACAAAGTAGATTGGAGTGATATTGAAAAGGGCCTTTTAAGTTGTTACGGCATTTGGTTTTTGCCATGTAGGCAGAAAGTGGGGAGCCTTTGGAAATTTGAAAGAAAGCTGATGTGATCCATGTGTGTCCTTTTGGCAGTATGGAAGATGGGATCTGGAGAGGGAGAGATTTCACCAATTACATTTTTATTATATTATTCACTCCCCTGCCTAAAACCTTTTAATTTTATACCTGCCAATCTTTCCAGCTTAGTTTCTCACACTCCAACCACAGTAGCTTTATTTTATTTCATTCCTCAGAATGAATGTGTTCATTAGTTGCTAACACTTAACAATAGCGTTTACTATGTGGCAAACACTGGTCAAAGCTATTTACATACATTACTGATTTAATTCTCTCAATAACTCTTGAAAGTTAATGCCTCTATTATTCCCCCTTTTTTTAAAAATGTTTTATTGATTTTAGAGAGGAAGGGAGAGGGAGAGATAGAAACATGATGAGAGAGAAACATCTATTGGAGCCCCTGACTCAGGTATGTGCCCTGACCGGGAATTGAACCTGTGACTTCTTGGTGCACGGGTCAACTCTCAACCACTAAGCCACACTGGCCAGGCCAAAATTTATGTTCTTAATCCTTGCACATTACTTCCTCTCCTTACTTCAGAACCCAGAACCTTTACACATGCTTTTGTCTGCAGTGCTCCTGCCACCCCCATTCCCCACATCTTCATTTAATTAACTGCTAGCTGCCTTTCAGATGTCAAACATCATTTATCCAAGCAACCCTTAGATAGTATAGGTTCTCCCTACCCACACATGGACAGACCACTTTTTAAATGCCTTCATAGGACACATTACTTTTTTTTAATCAGTTAAGTATTATGTATATGATCATTGATTACCTTGTTTCCTTACTAGGTTGTAAGCTTCATATGGGCAAGAACTCTATCCATTTTGCTCATGATGATTTCCCTGTGCCTAATTTAATGGTTGACATGCAGAGGGTACTCAGTAATTATTGGTCAAGTGAATAAACTTAGTAAGACCTGAAATAAGGTAGTGTCTACTTGGAAGGGAATGAATTTAATTTGGGATATAGAATTGTAAGTATTTATAGATCAGTTAGATGTGGGAGGAATGAAAGATGACTCCAAGATTTGAGTAGTAATACCACCGTTAGTCTAAGTTGGGAGGAAGAGAAGAAGCCAGTTTTGTGCAATAGAGAAGATAAGTTCAGTTTGGGGCTTAAGTGTCTTTGAGACATGAACTTGGAAATGTTTGGTAATCCGTTGTAAATGTGGGCCTCCTGTTCAAAAGTTGAGAGCTGATAATAAAGATTTGGAACTTACTCAAAAAAGTATTTATGGGGTGCCTACTATATGCCAGCTCACATAGGTGCTGGAGATATAGCAATGAACAAAGTAGACAACATTCTTTCTGTTGTGGAGCTTATGTTTTGCTGGGGGAAGGCACAATAAAGTAAAATTTAGTAAGGTGTGTAGAGAAAAATAGGAAAGCAGGATAGGGAGTACAGTGGGAAGAGTATTGTAATTTAAAATAGGGTGATTAGGGAAGGACTCATTGAGAATGTGATGTTTAAGCAGAGACTTGAAGGAGTGAGCCTTGTGCAAAGTGTAAGAGGACCTTATAGGTGATTGTTAGGACTCTGGCTTTTACTCTTAGAGATAGGAAACCAATAGAAGATTTTTTTTTTTTTTTAATATATCTTTATTGATTTCAGAGAGAGGAAAGGAGATGGAGAGATATAGAAACATCAGTGATGAGAGTGTCATTGATCGGCTGCAGCCCGCAACCTGGGCATGTGCCCTGACCGGGAATCGAACCCCGATCTCCTGGATCCTAGGTCGACGCTCAACCGCTGAGCCACACCCGGCCAGGCAATAGAAGATTTTTGAATAGAGGAATGACATGTTCTGACTTAAATTTTCAAAAGATTATTCTGACTACGTTGTTAAGAATAAACTATAATGAGGTGCAAGGGCTGCAAAGTTTTTACAAGAATATGAAAAAAAGACCAGAAGGGATTAGATCCTAGATGTATTTTGAAGGTAGAGCTGACAGGATTTGCCAGTGATTTGATTCTGGAAAGTGAGAAAGCCTTTGATACAAGTGGAATGAGAAGGCCAAAGAAGGAATCTCAGTGAATATTGCTATTTACAGGGTTGAGTGGAAGAAGAGTTAGCAAGGAGGCTGAGGAGGAGACGTAAGAGGAAAATGAAGAGCGATAGAGCATGTACATGAGAACAATGTCAGCATCTTGGTAGTTAAGATTGGGCTTAAGTCAGAGAGACCTGAGCTGGCACATTGGCTCCACTGTTTTCTAGCTATATGCTTTTTAAGTAAATTATTGAATCTCTTTAAGCCTCATTTTCTTAATTTAGAAAATGGGATCATAATACCAACTACTTAGGTTTGTTGTAAGGATTAAATGAAGAAATGACATTCAAAGTTTAGCTTTTTTCCTGGCATGTATTACTACTTAAAAATAAATTTGAGTTCCTGTTGTGTGAAATGTTATAAATGATATGAAATGTCTCTGCCCTCAAAGGTTTACAAACAATATCAAGAGGTAACAGATGAAAAAGATTTGAATCAAAATTCAAGATTAGTAAACAGAAAAAAATCACAGGGCAATAAATGATTAACGTTAAATATATTATGTGGGCCATTGATTGGTCTTTTCTCTGTAGGTTGGATATATAGAATGGAAAATGCCTATTGATACTGAAAAATAAAATTTTTATAAATTTTTTAAAATAAGTCATTCATGTACAAGTTCACAATTCCAAAGGTACAAAAAGGTATATGGTAATGAGTTTCCTTCCTACACTTGTCCTCAACAAGCTTCTTCCAGTGTTAATTTATCTGTTTCTTGTCCAGGTATCTTGTGTATATACATCACATGGGTGTGTGTGTGTTGTGTGCATTATTTTTTACATTAACATTAAAGTTAGTATCCTGTATACAGTGTTCTATAACTTGGTTTTTAAAACTAGTCTTACTGAGAATAATTCATATACCATACAATTCATTCAATATACCTTTTAAAATTTTTATTTATTTATTTATTTTTAAAATATATCTTTATTGATTTCAGAGAGAGGAAGGAAGAAGGAGAGAGAGAGTTGAAACATCAGTGATGAGAGAGTCATCATTGATCAGCTGCCTCCTGCCCGCCTCTGACTGGGAATTGATCCTGCAACCCGGGCTGGTGCCCTGACCAGGAATTGAACTGCGATCTCCTGTATCATAGGTAGATGCTCAACCACTGAGCAACACTGGCCAGGCTTCCTTGTTTTTTAAATATGTTCTTTTAAAATATTTTAAAGTTGAATGCATATAAAAATGGGTAAGATTTGATATTGTAAGTTATGTCCTAGTGTATGAGTAGAACCCACCATATAATAACTAAAATAAGACAACATGTAAAAGTCATATGTAACATTTTCATTTGACCAGAGAGGGGACATGGAGGTGCTGAGAAGACTCCTGCATGAACCAAAGACCTTGGGGTTAGGGAATGGGAGCCAGTGGGGGGCTGAGATTTCAGTGACCAAGGCAGTGGTAAGGCCAGTGGTCAGCAGTGACGGATACTATCCATGTAAACAACCAGTTGTACCAATCTGTCAGCTTCCAGCCTAGATCAGACTATATCAGATAAGCATCTGTGTAAAAACCATGTCTGACTGTACATTTTCCTCTCATCTGGAAGTGTTTGAAAACTTGCTTAGGCACAATTTTGAGAAGGAAGGAGAAGGGGGAAACAACTCTACTAGAAAATTGAACTTTGAATTGCCTGAATATTTACCAAAAATGTTACTTGAATCAGGAAAAAAAAGGAATTGAGGCTTCTGAAGAAGATGTATTGCTTTGTAGACAACCAACACTGTCTAAAGACACACACAGACACACAGACACCCACACAAAATGATATATTTAAAATGTTAAGTGACCTCGGTGTTGGAATTATGTAAGATTTATTTTCCTGTATACTTTTCAGAATTTTCAAACTATGGTGAACATAAGACTTAACAAAAAGCTTAACAAAATACTTTTAAAAGTGTAACTAAAATTAAAAGACTTGTTCAGGAAGCTGAAAGGAAATAAAGTACCAAGGACGGAAAGATCAAGATTCTTTCTTAAGATCGGCCGGCGTGGCTCAGCAGTTGGTTGAGCATCGACCTATGATCCAGGAGATCTCGGTTTGATTCCAGTCCAGGCAAATGCCTGGTTTTGAGCTTGATCCCCAGCAGGAAGCAGCCTATCAATGACTCTCATCATTGATATCTCTCTCTCTCTCCCCCTCTCCCTTCCTCTCTGAAATCAGTTAAATATATATGTATATATAATACATATATATGTAAAAATTCTTATTTTAGAAATGCACCTTAAAGACTACTTAGAGTCTGGAGTCTAGATTAATACTATTCAAGGTATGGCCGCAGGCTAGTGCTTGCCTGTCCATGAACTGTTTGTTACTGGTTAGGGATAAGTAAAATTGAGTAAGCTTTTAGAAACTTTGATAGCAGTTTAACATCACTGCTACCACATTGAGACATATTATTGTTTTTCTGGTAATTGGTTTTTATTGTTTTGTACAAAAGTATCAGTCTATGACCTGGTTGGCATATTATAAAAAATTGGCAGCCCTATCAATCTACCTATTTAAAAATATATTGATCTGTGAAATTCAGAAATCTGAGAAGCAATGATTCAGTCTAATCTTGCCTAATCTTTAACCTAGTGTCTAACACTTATAAAGTGCTTACTAGGTGCCAAGCACTATTCTAAATGTTTTACAAATATTTACTGGTTTAATCTTCGTAACAACATTTTGGTATAGGTATGGTTGCATTATCCCCCTTTCACAAGAAACTGAGGCACAGAGAGATTAAGTTATGCACCTGTTTATCCAGCTGTTAGTGGTAAAGCTGGAGTTTGAACCCAGGTAGTCTGGCTTCAGACGCCATAATTAGGCTATGCAGCCATTCCACACTAATAATGGATGATTACCTAACATGTTTCTGAATAGAGAGTGCTGTTGGCTTGTTGAGTAGGACAGTTTTCCACAGACAAGGTGGGACAAAAGTAGGTTTGCAGTTGTTCATATGGAAAATAATACAATAATTAATAAATAATAATATAAGAATAAACTGTTTCATGTACTCACAAGTGTAAACTTACCTTTTCCCTACCCTGTATTTATCCCTGCCTACCTGCCCCCACTCAACTGAATGTTCCACCTGGCCAATTACAGTATTGGGGTGGGGGAGCTTCCCGTCTCCATTTCCAAATGCTCCCTTGATCGAAAACCTAGAGATGCCCAGCATATTCCCCTTAGTTGTAAAGTTCTTTCTTCTATAGGAATCTGCTTTCTAACTTCTGGCTAGTCTTCCATCTGTACTTCCAAACAAGTAAAATCTTCTTTCAGGCCAAACATCTATTCGTGCACTGATCTGCATATAGGATTTCTGGAACCTTCCTTTTCCTGCTTTCTCCTTGGATCAGCACATCATTATGCTTCTTAAAATAATCTGGAGCCCCGTAAGGCTGTTACATCATTTAATATATTCTATTTTTCGGTTACCCATAATCTAGAATTATTTTGGTCGCAAATCATATTGTTAACTCTCTCTGCACTTGTAATCATCTAAAACCCTGAGGTCTTTATCCTTTGAGTTGCTGTTAAGCCAGATCTTGCTCATCTGGTTTTTGAACAATTTAAGTTTTGAATATAATTGTAGTACTTTATAGATATGTATCTTATTTTTTCTAAATTGAATATTTTTGGCTCATTGTTGTCCCTGAAGAGCTCCCCCCTTCCCTCAGCTTAATTCTGTCGGTAATCCATCAGTTCTTCCACTGTTGTCTGCAAAGTTGATAAGAGTACCTGTTATATCACTAGTCAAGTTACTGATTTTAATTGGTTCATTGTTAACTTAAAGCTGGCTAACACATTTATCTAATCCTACAGTAGTCAGACTTGAATGCATATTTATGGTAGATTTCAGTAAAGGATCTGGGATAAGAGAAGAATTTGCTTTTCTATTAACTAGCTGGTACAGTAATTTTGGGGGGAGGGGATTAAACCTTTTCCTCTTTTCAGAAATGCTAAAGATTTGTAATAATAAAAAGTTGCATGAATAGGTCAGAATTTTATTAAAGTAGGATGTTTATTCTTCATCATGTGTTAGGAAAGTCTTCCTGCATATTGAATATTAGAAGGAAGTGTACCTTCTTTGAATCTAGAGGTTTGGTGGGATTAAGAGCAATTGTTTGGGATTGAACTTTTTTTCTTTTTTGTGAGAACTACGGTTTACCCTTGTACAATATGGGTTTGAACTGTTCAAGTTCACTTATACTCGGGACTTTGTTTCCAATAAATATGTACAGTATGGTAAATGTGTGTGTATATATATATATATATATATCTTTATTGATTTCAGGGAGAGGAAGGGAGAGGGAGGGAGAGATAGAAACAGAAATGATGGGAGAGTTGTCATTGATCGGCTGCCTCCTGCATGCCCCCCGACTGGGGATCAAGCCCATAACCCTTGCATGTGCCCTGACCAGGAATTGAACTGTGATCTTCCTGGATCCTCCTGGCTCAACCTCTGAGCCATCCCCAGCTGGGCAGTAAATGTATTTTCTTTTATGATTTTTTTAATAACATTTTCTTTTCTGTAGTTTATTGTATTGTAAGTCTATAGTATATAATATACAAAATACGTGTTAATTGACTGTTTATGTTATCGGTAAGGCAAGGCTTCCAATCAACAGTAGGTTATTATTAGTTACGTTTTTGAGGGATTCAAGTTATACTCCAATATTTGACTGCATGGGGTGTCAGCACCTCTAATCCTGTGTTGTTCAAGGGTCAACTGTACCTTTTTGGGGGGGGGGGGGCAGGTCATTCTATTAACTAAGGAAAAGTTGTATTATTTTTTTTCAGCTTGCTGAACTAAAGCAGGAATGTCTTGCTCGTGGTTTAGAGACCAAGGGAATAAAACAAGATCTCATCAACAGGCTCCAGGCCTATCTTGAAGAGCATGGTGAGTGCTTTGTGGAGGCAAAGAGTGGTTTGATTGAGGGTATTAATTTTTAGGCTCTGACATATGGAAGATTTCCTTTTTTTCCTGTAAGTTGTTGGTAATGTAAGTTCTTAATTAACTATATCAAGAAAACTCTTGGCCAACCAGAACAGTGGTGATAGTACAAAAAATACCCCCCCCTCCTGTTTTTAAATATGTATAATTTTATTTCAGCAAATTATTTAAAAGGAAGTATGGTAAAGCAAGTATCATTAACCTGAGAATTGGAAGATTTTAATTCTAATTCCTTTTGTGCCAGAAATTTACTAGGTAACTTTGGACAGTCACTTTTCATGGCTTACTATTTACATTTCTCTGTTCTGATCTATGAAATGAAACAAATATCTCATCTCCACCCTTGAAATTCATAAACCTAGATAACCTCTGGTCCGCTGTAAGTTCTGACATTCTCTAATTCTGCCTTTTTAAAAACAACTTCATTTAAGTCATAATATCATCCCAGGTTGTACAAGTTCCCTCTTTAATTTTTTTTTTTATTCCCATTCCTTTTATCCCATCTCTCTTAAACAACTGTTCTAACATGTCTGATAGGTAGTATTTGTCTTTGTCCTTGTAAAGCCATGTAGTATTGTTTAGTGTACAATATTTTTATATAATTGGCAATGAGGCTATAGCCTTGCTCTGTTTCTCACTTCTCTAACTACTGTGTTTTAAAGATGTATTTGTGTGGCCTGTGGCTGTGTTGTCATCTAGTCTATTAATTCCAGTTCCTATATAGTAGCCTATGATGTATAGAATCCACCACATTTGTTTAAGTCCTCACCTGAGAAGTGAGGATATTTTTCCATTGATTATTTTATTTTATTTTTTTAGAGGGAGTGGTGGAAGGGAGGGTGGAGGAGGGGAGAGAGAAACATTGATGTAACAGAGACATATCAATCTATTGCCTCCCACATGCTCCCTGACTGGGGGCGGGGATCAGACCTGCCTGCAACCCAGGTATGTGCCGTTGACTGGGAATTGGACCTGTAACCCTCCCGAGTGTAGGCCCACGCTCTGACCACCGAGCCACGCTGGCCAGGGTGAATCCACCACATTTTAATTCGCCCAGTGATAAACACCTCTATTGCCTCCTGAACTACTACTTTTGTGTTCCTTCATATTCCTGTTTGAGAGTCTTTCTGGGATATATACCTAGGAATGGGTTGCTAATTAATACCTATTTATAATGTATACTTAATATGACTAAGCACTGCCAAATTATTTTCCAGAATTGCTCTGTAAATCTATAGAGTGCATGAGGATTTGTGTATCACCTCCACAAACCTAAACTTGGCACTGTCTTATCAAGTAGCCTAATTTTTGCTAATCTCTTAGTTGTTTCACTTTACATTTCTCTAATTATTAAAAAGTTTAAACGTTTCCTGTGTTCATGGCTCTGGGTTTCTCCTTTGCTTATTTATTCTTTTAGAGTTTTACATCATTCACTTGTTTGTCTACAAGCCATTTCTTTATATTCTAGTAACTATTCGCTTGTTGGTTTTAGACACTAATATCTTTGTCATTTGTTTCTTTTTCCATGATGTTTTTCCTTAGTTTTGAAAAACCTGCGATTTTTTTCATATTACATTTTTAAAAATTGATTTTAGAGGGGGAGGGAGAGAGGGAAACATCGATGTGAGAGAGACACATTGATCTGTTGCTTCCAGTATGCACTGACCGGGAATTGAACCCTCGACCTTCTGGTGCACTGGGCAATGTTCCAACCACTGAGAGAGCCACACCAGCCAGGGTGCTCTCTCATACTACTTTTGCTTCTGTTTTTTTTATTTTAGAAATCCTTCCCAGCCGCTAAATCTTAAGGGTATACTCCCATATTACTTTGTATTAATGTTTAAATTTGACATCACATTTAGTTCTTCAGTTGAGCTGGCCTTCAGCTTTGTATTTATGTTATGTAGAGAAAACAGTTTTATCTCCTCCATGTGAAGCAATTTTATGAGCATTAGTTCGCCTTCATTATTGAATTTTATTTTGGGAAAGCAAAATTATTATAATTTTAGCCTGAGTGAAGTGATCAGTATGGCTTTGTAGCAGGGCTTGACCTGAATATTTTAATATTCTTTAGCTGAAGAGGAAGCAAATGAAGAAGATGTACTGGGAGATGAAACAGAGGTGAGTTGGAGAGAGTAAGGTTAGTCACTGACCTGACAGTGTGCCATTACCTTGGCAACATTGCTTAACATCAATCACTAGAGGGCTTAAATGCTAACTTGTTAGGGGAGCGTAGTCGGGTAATGAAGGTTCTGAAAGACTGGTTCATTTTGGAGTTTTCATATTCTTCTGCTGACAGGTTTTTACTCTGGATTTATGCTAACCATCCTGTTTGATTTGGTTATAGGAAGAAGAACCAAAGCCCATAGAACTGCCTGTCAAAGAGGAAGAACCTCCTGAAAAAACTGTTGATGCGTAACTATCTCTTTTTATAATATGAGTACAGAGCAGACAGTTCTTGTTGGGAGGGTGGGGGTGTTAGTGTTTCATTCTGTTTACCTTTTATTCATTCCCTTTGGCTTTTTCATTTCTCATTAGATCATACATTTTCAGGAGATTTATTTCCTACCAGTGAAGCAAAGTAGTTTGTCTCTGGGTTATGTAATAGATAATCAGGACCAGGAGACTTTAAGCACAGACAAAGTTTAGGTCTCCTAGCCTTTGTTATATCACCATTAAAGATGATTCTTTTTCTGTATAGGGAATCAGACAGATTCTCTTCATATAAGGAGTTTCGTAAGAAAGGCGGTTGCTGAGCAGAGATTTTGTCTCAAGCAACACTGTTCCCTCTTCCTCTTTGATTTACAGTAGAGGAGTGGAGGACAGAATACTAGCGTGGAAAGTAGATCTTGATTTATTTCAAACGACCACACAGTGTTATCATAAACATTTTTTATTTGGGGCTCTTTCCACAGATGTCTGGCATCTTATACTCCAGCACATTAAGAACAGTTGAGTCCTTTTTAACATTTTTGTTCCTTACAACTGTATTAATGCATTTAATTATAAAAGGCAATATATGGATTAGTAAAAAGTCAAACAGTACATACACTCAAGTACCCCTTGTTTTCACCCTCATCTGATTTCCTAGAGGTTTTCAATATATCCTTTTGTAATATTTTACATGGTATGTGTATGTACAGATACATATATTTACACACTATGCATATTGTTGGTTTCTTGAATTTTTTTTTACATCTGGAAATCTTTATCATACAATAATGTTCTTAAATGTTAGTTATGTAGTAGGTAAAGTTCTAGGTGTTGTACATATATACATTTAATCTTCACATCAACCCTATGAAATGGGGCTAATTATCCTAGTAAGTGGTAGGATTAATTTTTACCTTGTTATTATGGGAAATTACAAGTATCTGTAAAAGTTATGTACCCATTTACCCAGGTTTAGTAGTTATCAGCTTAGAACCTTATTCTTTCTTGAAGCTAATAGTACTCCATTCCAGGGATGAACAGTAATTTCACCAGTCTCCTGTTGATGGACATGTAGGTTATTCATAATAGCAAAAAATGCAGTGCTACATGTCCTTATGCAACTGTTTTTATACTTATGCAGGTATGTACATAGTTATGATAAGTCCCTGGATTTTCTGCATCACGGGAAGTGCATTTAATGTTTTATTAGATTTTGTCAAATATTACTGCTTTCGAAAGCCTTTTCTTTATCTTCTATCATAGGAGGTTTTTGTTTAGATACAATGCTTTGAGCAAATGGTTTATGGGTTAGCTTTAAAATTGAGGTGTTTTGGGGACTTCTGGGGCAATAAGGAATATCAGGTAAATACAGTGATGATTGGCTTGTGTGGCTTAAAAATAATAAAGTTTGGCCCTGACCAGTGTGGCTCGGTTTGGTGTTGTGCCCTGCACTGACAGGTTGCCTGTTCAATTCCTGGTCAGGACACATGCCCAGGTTGTGGGCTCCATCCCCAGTAGGGGATAAGGGGCATGCAGAAGGCAACCAATTGATGTTTCCCTCTTGAATTGATGATTCTCTCTCAAAAAAAATCAATAATAAATAAATACTTTGAAAAATAAAGTTTGGAAATTTGTGGAAGTTCATTATCCTTAGAATTTGTAAAATGTGTAATTTGTTTAAAGGATTTTTTTTGGTTTTTTAAAAAATATATCTATTGATTTCAGAGAAAGAGGAAGGGAGAGGGAGAGAGAGAGTTGAAACATCAATAATGAGAGAGTTGTCATTAATCGGCTGCCTCCTACATGCCCCCAACTGGGGCTTGAGCCCACAACCTGGACATGTGCCCTGACCGGGAATTGAACCTCGATCTCCTGGCTCATAGGTCAATGCTCAACCACTGAGCCATGCCGGTCGGGCTGTTTAAAGGGTTTTAATTTTATTAATGAATTTCTGAACAGGGAAATTGAATGTGTGTGAGGGTGGTAATTTTGCTTTTTGGAGAGAAGTAATGGTTAGACTAAAATATGTGCAGTACAGAAAGGTTCTGAGTCCCTATAGTTTAGACGGTGTTTTGTAGTGTCGGAGACAGTGACTGTGTCATGAGTCCCAGAATGTGATGTGTTTTTTATTGCTTGTGTTTAATTGTGCCTGAGGAAATTAGAATGGAACAGAAGGAGTCTTCCTCTCTGGGATTCCCTATGAGGTGTACTGCAGTGATTGTGCTTTAAGACAGGAATGTGAAGGAAGATATTAGCGTGGGGTTTGGTGGAGAGGACTGTTTAATGGCATTGGACGTCAAGAAAAACATTTAACTTTGTCCATTTTTGCCTTAACAAGACAGGGTTGGGGAAGGAAGAGTGACCAGGAAATAGGAAGAATTCAGAGATTTCTTTAAAGGTCAGAATATTTAGGGCTAATTTAGGTCCTTTGAACATTCAGAAGGAGATCCCCTTGCTTCCTCTTTGGCTTGAGAGTCTCCAAAAATTTTCCTATTTCTAGTTTGATTTTTTCCTTTTTCCTTGTCAAGTCAGTTAAATATTGTAGGACTTAGTTATGGTCAGCAGGGGGCACCCATTGCTTATCTTTTATTTCAGGGACCTCCAACAAAAGGACACAGGAGAGAGTAAGTTCCTGTTCCAGAATTGCTTCCTCTGAAAATGCCATTAAACCATTACTACCTTTCAGGGCATCAAATGGGAAAAGTGTCTGGGATATTGGAACAAAAGCTGTCCATGTCTCTAAATGAGGGACCTTAATGAGACTGGTTATGACCCACAGTTTTATGGGAGTTGTTTGGTGGAGGGTTAAAGCCCTTCCATTTATCCTGAGTACTTCCGAACTTTGTCTCTCATCCCTGTGATCCCCCCCTCTTTTGTTTTCTCTTAAGCCTTTTGACTAGTAACTTACCAGGTTTTCCTAATTCATACTCCCCTTAGCCTTTTTTCTTCCCACTCCTTTTGGCATTTTTATTTGTCCCACTTTGACTATTTCAGCTGAAGGTACAGTCCCCATGGGAGAAATAGGAGATTTGTGAAAGAAAGAAACCAGAGCTTGTAGAGCACACATTAATTGTTCCTGTGATGAAAATTGAGAGCTGATATTTAAATGAGGGTTAGAGGAATAGTTAGCAGTCCAGAAGTAAATTTAGAAGTTCCTAAAAGTAAATCAAATGGTTTCCGGTATCCTTTGAGTATTTCCCTTCAGCCAATATATTTAACCAGACTTCTTTCCTAATAACTTTCTTATACTTTAGCAAAGTAGCTTAGTCTGTTATTTGAGCTCTTATCAATAGATGACAGTTCAAGAAACTGAAGTTCTAAGCGCTTTGTGGTTTTTTGGACTAAGAAGGGGTGGTAGAGAGTTATGGAACAGAAGTCATGATTCAGGTGAATTCTTACACAATTCTAAATTTTTGGTTTAGAATAGCAGTTTTCTAATTTTAAAAATCTCTTTCCTCTTTTCCAGGGCAGCAGAAAAGAAAGTGGTAAAAATTACATCTGAAATACCACAGACTGAGGTAGGTATTCTGCTCCTTAGTAGAAGAGCAGTTGCTGTGTACATATATCTTTCTGTTTCTTATCCTTTAATCTGTATCGTCATTTAAATTTACTCATAGGCAGAAAATCAATATTGACAGATTTTGGTATTGATATATTTTTCCACCAACTACACTTGAGAAAATATTTGGGCTGGCATAATCACCTTTGAAACCCTAGTCTTTTTGTATATAGTACTGAACTGTGGTCTTAGTGGTAATTCTCTTTAGGATGTTTATAAACTAGGATTGGCGTTTGGGAAAATTGCACCTTGGGAGAGATGAAAAGTAACAAGGGAAGATGTCACCCTTAAGTTACAACCCACTAGCTGATAAGATTGAAATTTCTCTGGATTCTGTGTTAAGATATCTAAAACTAGGTTCCAGTCAAGATCTGTGCTCTGTTTTTGTACTTTTAAAGTAAAGGTAGCATAGGACACACTGCCTCATTTCTACCTGAAAGAGTACCACCAGTGCTGGAACAAAGCTATATTCCTTTGATCTCTTTTCAAAGGTCAACTAGACACAGCTTTCTGTCTTCTTGGCTTCATGCAGAATGTGGGTTTTATTTTATTCCTTCTCCTTTGTTTTTGAGGACATGAATTCAATAATAGTCTTTTTGTCTTTGCTTTCGGGAAAGGGCTGTTGAGTTAAGCCCTCAGATGGATATAGCCTGATATCCTCTAAGATTGTCAGTATTCTCAGTTTAGACCTTAAGAAATTACTCCTGATGTTCTAAAGATACACCTCTAAACAACTTTTCTCTTAAAGGAAGCAAACCAGAAATTGAATTTTTCGTTTCCTCTTCTTTTTTCCACTATCACTTAGAGAATGCAGAAGAGAGCTGAACGATTCAATGTACCTGTGAGCTTGGAGAGTAAGAAAGCTGCCCGGGCAGCTAGGTGAGTGTCCCCAGCCTTTTGGACCTGAGATAGTGATAGTATGAAGGTGAGGTGCTGTCATCCTAAGTTTTAAATAATTGTTGACTTTGTAAGGTGTCTATAGGCCTTGCTGAAAAGAAACTTTTTTTGTTCCATTCAGAACTCTGTTGATTTGGATGTAGTAGCTATAGATGGGTTTTATTATCAAGCAGGGTTTTTGTAATAGGTAAAAGTCAGTTCCTGACTACTTCTGATAAGGCTTCCTTTTAGCTTATTATCTGGACTCTTGGTGAGAAAAAGAATGAACGGAACTTCTTTCATGGGGTTGTTAGAATTAGCTAATGATTGCAAGGCTTGAGATCACAAGCAAGAAGTGCCATATGTACACTTGACACGGAGACCAGGAGTGTGAACAGCTTCCTAAAATTTAGCTTGTTTTTCTTTCTACAGATTTGGAATTTCTTCAGTTCCATCAAAAGGTAAGCATACAGAGACTTTTCTGAGAAAGTTATCTCTATATTCTTACTTTTCTGGCACAAGAGATTTAATTTCTCCAAATTAAGATAAACTTGTAAGCTTTAGACTCCTTTAAGAGGTTATAACATTTACCTCTTTGCTTTAGATAAGGCTATACTTAAGCCTTCTTGGGCAATTTAGAGAAGGTACTGAAGTTAAGAGAATAGGAAAAAGTGCCAACATTTATTTTCCTTTTCTTGGACATTTTCAGAGAAGTTTCTAGTACCTCACTTACTTATTCTGGTGTATCAAATCAGCGTATAATTATTATGTACCTGTCTAGTGTTATACTTCTTGGTGTAGTGGTAAAATGGTAAAGGGAAAGAGAGTCTTTTTTACCTCAACAATCTTCTAGGAATTTACAAGGAACCTTGGGTATACTTAAAGATTTAACCACAAGGATTATCATGCATTATTTATAGTGATCAGTAACTGGAAGCAATGTGATATACAGTACAGAATTGGTTAAGTAAGTGTGTGCCATGGTATAGTAGAAGACCAGGCAGATATTCAAAATGATATTGAAGAATATTTGTTAGAAAGATATTAAGTGAAAAAAGCAAGTTAAAAAATTTGCAGTAGGTTCTCATTTTATTAATAAAAGTGCATATATAGCTAGGAAAAAATACTGGAAGGATATATACTAAATTATTAATACTATCTGGTGGGTAGAATTTTGAGTGACTACTTTTGCTTGTCTTTGTTTTTAAAATTTCTACAGTGAATATGCATTTTGTCATTTTTTTTAAAGTTATTTTTTAAAAGGACATAGTTCCTATTCTCAGTGACTTAAACTTTAAATGTAGTTTCCTTATCCAGTGCAGTCTTCCTGGTGATTTGTTTGTAGTTTTAAGTGTGTTAAGAAAATGCCCTCCAAAGATCTTATAGTGGATTGCTATGCTTTTTAAAAGACCAGCAAAATTCTGGCCATTATTGGAAAGAAGATATTTTCTGGCTTTTAGCTATGACAAGAGAGATATAATGGGATTGGTGATAGTACGACAAAAATTATTAAAGACATTAGGTAGTGCTATTTAAGAAAGAACGAAAGTTAACATTAATACCTAGTCTGAAAAGTAACCCTGCTCAATAAAAATGTATAGATAACATTTACAGTGTTACCATAATTCTGACATCCTAGAACTACAGAGTAGCTCTTAAAAGAACAGAACATTTGAAAGGAGTTAGTGTTATGAGTGAGAACATAAAAACACCTAACAGTTCCTAGCACATGGATTGTGGTAAAAGTTGAATCCATTCATAAATGTTTACAGTGGAGAGTTACAGTGGTCTGTAACTGATTACAGTTACAAAACAGATTGTTTAAAATAAAATTTTGAAAAGTTTTAAGTAATTATTGACTAAATTAGGGTTGATTATATAGGTCAATTTACTACTTGCTGCTTAGTATTTCAGGACAGAACATTGTTTTAAAGAGACCATAATTTTAACTCACAATAGTAGCTCTGTTCTTTTTTCCAGATAGGATATCTTTCTCTTTTTTAAGTTTTATTGAAATTCATATACCATTCAATTCTTCCACTTAAAATATATAATCAGTGATTTCTTTATATTCACAGGGTTGTGCAGCTATCACAGTCTAATTTTAGGACATATCCATAACCCAAAAATGAAACTTCGTACCCATTAGCAGTTGTTTCTATCCTCTCCTCCCAAGCAACCACTAATTTTTTTCTCTATATGTAAATTTGCCTTCATATAAGTGGAATAATATAATTTGTGGCTATTTGTGACTGAATTCTTTCACTTAGCATAGTGTATTCAGGATTCATCATGTTGTAGCATGTATCAGTACTTCATTTCTTTTTATTGTTGGATAATATTCTATTGTATGGATATACTATATCTTATCTATCCAGTCATCATTTGATGGACATTTGGGTTGTTTTCACTTTTTGGATACTATGGATAATGTTGCTGTGAACATTCATATTCAAGTTTTTGCATGGGTGTATGTTTTCATTTCTTTTGTGTGTATACCTAGGCATGGAATTGCTAAGTCATATGGTAAACTATGTTTTAACTTTTTGAGGAACTGCCAAACTGTTTTCCAAAGTGTCTATACCATTTTATGTTCTCAGTGAATGCAGATATGATCTCTAGATGCAATCTACCTTTTCCTTCTCATCATAAAGGAGATTTATCTTATATACTATTTCTATGCTATCTAATTTGATTTGAAGACTGGGAGCTTCCTTTTTTATGACTTTTAAAATATTAAATAAAACTTTTTCTTTTATAGGCTTGTCATCCGACACCAAGCCTATGGTAAGAAAACTTTTTTTATACTTTGAGACCCAAAACTTAACTCTATACAGTTAGTATTAAAGTTGTAGAGAATCCTCCTTCTCCCCAGGTCAGAGGAAACTGAAATCATATGGTCTTGATGACTTTTCAGTAATGTTTTATGTCCTGAATAAAAATAATTGTTTGAAGTACCAAGAGTCAGGAAAATTGCCACATCAAAAATACTATAACTGTCTTCCTTCCTATCACTCCTCTTGAAAAAATGAATAGATTTTGTTAGAGGACAGTCCGTGTAACTCTTTTTTATGGTGCTGGAGTTTTAGGCCTTGTCCAGTGGCTTTGGATTCTTAATTACCACAAGAAAATCTGTGAAAGCAATTTAATGAGTTCTCTTTATAGGTACTGGTATTTTTTAACACACCTAGTAAATGTAAAATCAGAAAATAAAGGCTAGTAGAATAAGACACTTCTGGGCCATTGTGACTAGTAGACATGTTTAGAAAATGGAAATAAATGATGTGAAATATGTTCAGCTTGTCTTTGGCTCAGTTGGTTAGAGCATCATCCTGTACACCAAAAGGTAGCGGGTTCATTTCTTGGTCAGGGCACATACCCAGGCTGTGGGTTGGATCCCCAGTCAGCTCATACTGGAGGCAACCAGTGGATGTTTCTCACATTGATGTTTCTTTCTCTCCCTCTCCCTTCCTCTGTCTCTAAATCAATAAAAACATATCCTCAGGTGAGGATTTAAAAAATAACAATCTAAATTTTTAAAAATCAGTGTTTACTATAAAAAATATGTTGGCTTTGTGAAATCCTGCTCTTGGGGTTACAGTTCATTATTATTAGTAGTAGTAATAGTAGTAGTAGTAGTAGTAGTAGTAGTAGTAGTAGTAGTAATGAAAATTTCCCAAATACTTTTACACTGCGACCACATCCATGAGTATGCTCAGGCCTCAGAAGAGGCTTGCTTGCAGTGTCCTTTGTTGAAGCAAAAAGAAGGTTGGGTTGGACCCTAATGAAACCAATGAAATTGCCAGTGCCAACTCCCATCGGCAGATTCAAAAGCTGATCAAAAATGGACTGATCATCCAGAAGCCTGTGATTGTCCATTCCCCAAGCTTGATGCCTGGAAAACACTGTGGCCTGCAAGAAGGGTAGACATATGGGTGAGGTAAGCCAAAGGGTACTGCCAGTGCTTGAATGCTTGAGAAGGTAACCTGGATGAGGACAATGAGAATTATTCTCCGGCTGCTCAGAATATGCCATGAATCTAAGAAGACTGACCACGGCCTGTACCTGAAATGAGAGGTAACATGTTCAGAAACAAGCAGATTCTCCCNTTTTTTTCAATCCTCACCCAAGGATATTTTTTCCATTGCTTTTTCAGAGAAAGTAGAAGGGAGAGAGACAGACAGAAACATCAATGTGAGAGACATGCATCAATTGGTTGCCTCCCTCTCGCACCCCAACTGGGGCCCGAGCCTGCAACTGAGGCACATGCCCTTGGCTGGAATCAAACCCAGGACCCTTCAGTCCGTGGGCCAACAACAAGCGGATTCTTTTGGAACACATTTATAAGCTGAAGGAAGGCAGACAAGGCTCACAAGAAACTTCTGCTGACCAGGCTGAGGCCCACAGGTTTAAGACCAAGGAGGAATGCAAGCACTGTGAAGAATGCCTCCAGGCCAAGAAGGAGGAAATCATAAAGACTGCCCAAGGAGGAAGAGACCAAGAAATAAAGCTCCACCTCTCTTACCTATACATAGTAGCCTCAGCAGTTACATGCATTAATCATTCAAAACAGCCTTCATCTACCTAAAAAAAAAAAAAAAAAAAAAAAGGCATCCTATATATCCTTATAATAATAAGTCTTGATATATCAAGGCTTACAAGAAAAAGGAAGAAAATTGAGTGGGGTACTGGTGGTAGATTTGTCTTCTAAATAAAGTAGATCTGCAGTGATGGTTTCTTTTTGTTAGGAGATAGAGTGAATTATTTGCAGAGACTACAGGAATTAATGATTTTGGACTGTGAATAGTGGACTTGTGTGGAGGTGATTGAGACATTGGTTTGCTTTTTCAAGCAGTGTTTGTCCTACTTTGATCTTAAACCCTCCTGAAGTTCTTGGCACCTTTGATGAATGAAGGAGGTAGGGCTGACTCTTTCACTGTATTCCAGAAGAAGCTTTTTAATAATTACTGGCATGGATGGGTTCTGCTTAAGTTTCCTAATTTGGCACATAAGGTATCTTTGATGTAGGCTTATTTACCTCTTATCTTTGGACCATAAGTTTCTACCTTCTGTATTTTCTATTTTGATTTTTTAAAATACAGATTTTTTTTGTTGTTCTCCTCCACCCCTTGTTTTTGTAGGTTAACCTGGACAAGCTAAAGGAAAGAGCTCAAAGATTTGGTTTGAATGTCTCTTCAATCTCCAGAAAGGTAAAGTACTGTTTTTGCAACATTAGAGCAGCTTGAGGACTATGTCACTGGAAATGACAGTTTTTGCAACATTAGGGCACTGGGCTGAGAATGTAACACTTCGTTTCACACGGTCCTTTGACTCTCATTTCCTCTCACTGACTATTGATTACATTACAGGAATTGTTTCACAAAGCTAATTGTATTTTTCTACAGATTGTTTTCGTAGTTTCTACTCAGGCTGTTTGAGCATGCTCTGTATTTCTCTTAGCTGTCGAAGTGGTGACAGGGTTAAGGGAAGAATATTTCAAACCATAAAAAACATCACTTAAAGAAAATGATTACTTCCCATTTGAGTATGGAAATATTGAGCTCTCTGGAAATCCATAGGAAAAAATTGACCTGACAGTGGTTATATTTTTGCTCAGGAAAAAAACTGAACACTAAAAAGTAAACATTTGTGCCCCCAGGGGACTCATAACCTTGCTTACAACTGTGTTTCATCTTCCTTTCCTTTAGGTTACAGTTTTGATGTTTACCAGAAATACAACATCAGCTCTGTGTGCCCAGCTTGATGCTGAGACCATAGATCTTCAGTAGGAGTATTTCCTGGTTTATGTCAAAAATTTATTTTTTTTTTAAATTTATTTTAATATATTTTACTGATTTCAGGGAGAGGATGGAAGAGGGAGGGAGAGAGAGAAACATCAGTGATGAGAGTCATTGATCGGCTGCTTCATTCACACCCTCTGCTGGGGATCTAGCCTGCAACCCGGGCATGTGCCCTGACCAGGAATTGAACCTCAGTCTCCTGGATGATAGGTTGATACTCAACTGCTGAGCCATGCTGGCTGGGCTATGTGAAATTTTTAAAATTTAGTTGAGAGGAAGACAGAGTTATGTGATTCTTAAACCATATGCAGCTTAGTTGGGAAGAATTATTATAAACCCAGTCATTTGTGTTTTGCCAGATGGCCAAGGGAAAGGGTGCCTTGGCTCTGTGGCCCTGGATCTCATCTATCTACTTTTGTATATGAGGGCTAGATATCCGAGAATCTCAGCAATAACTTCACTCTTCTAGGGAATTATGTGTGTTTGTGTGTTCCATCAAAATTAATTAAATAGAACTTTGTACCTCCTACTACTCGGCTCACATGGAAACATTCCTGAGAGGAATTTGTCCCTCACCTATACTGTCCACCCGAGTTAGTTTGATAACATTTCATTACAGGGACATCAGCTTTTCTCTTCCCTTCCCTGGAATCTTTCTCCATATTTTACCTGGTTTCATTTTCAGTCCACAGGAGGCTAAGTAGAACATGAAGGATGATACCTTAATTTTGTGACTTCGAGCAAAATATTAAACTTATTTGGTTCTCATCTATAAAAATGAGAGTAATGCCCTGGCCAGTGTGCCTTAGTGGTTAGAGCATTGGCCTGCTCATCGAAGGATTGCAGGTTCAGTTCCCGGTCAAAGACATGTACCTGGGTTGCAGGTTGAATCCCCAGCCCCGGTGAAGGTGTGTGTGGGAGGCAACCAATCAGTGTGTGTCTCCCACACCAATGTTTCTCTCCCACTCTCCTTTCTTCCCCCTCCTTCCTCCCACTCTCTCTAAAAATCAATGGAACAAATATTTTCGGGCTCTAGCCAGTTTGGTTCAGTGGTTAGAGCGCTGGCCCACAGACTGAAGGGTCCCAGATTCAGTTCCAGCCAAGGGCACATACGTCAGTTGCAGGCTCCATCCCCAGCCCTGGTCGGGGCACCTGCAGGAGGCAACCAGTCGTGTCTCACATTGATGTCCTGTCCGTGTGTCGTCGTCCCCCCACACACTCTCTCTGAAAAACAATGGAAAAAATATCCTCAGGTGAAGATTAACCGAAAAAAAAAGGGAGTAATACCTAACACTGTGTTTGTGAAGAGTAAATGTGTGTTTGAAATTACCTAACATGGTGACAGTTTGACCCTCAATAAATATTAGTTTTCTTCCTTTCTTAGTTCAGTTCCATTGCCCAACTGACTTTATGACTAATTTAAATCAGTTAACTTCTTTGTTTTATTTGGTCACTGATAAGATGTCAGTTTTCATTTTAAATTTCTAAAGGGAGCCCAGCTGGCATGGCTCAGTGGTTGAGCATCCACCTATGATCTAGGAGATCACTGTTCAATTCCCTGTCAGGGCGCATGCCTGGGTTGTGGGTTCAATCCCCAGTGAGGGGAGTGCAGGAGGCAGCTGATCATTGATGTTTCTCTCCCCCCACCCTTCCTGTCTCTGAAATCAATAAAGACATATTTTTAAAAAAAAATTTCAAAGTTTATAATCAGATAATGGTAATTGGTAGAACTCTGTATGAGCTCTGTTCTCTAATCACATTTATTGTCATATGTTCTAGAGTAGTGTTTTTCAAATTCTATGGCAAAGACTAGCTTCTTTAAATTTCCATTTTATTGCAGAGTGGTACTTTTGTAGAATACAATAAAGTCACAGCAGTATTAAATTACTCTGGAAATTTCTAAAAACACTCTGAATTTCTGGACTTTAAGTACAGGCTGGTAACAAACAGTTTGGGGACCAGTACCAGGAGGCAGACCACATTTTGAGTAGCACCGTACTAGAGTATATGATTTCTTCCAGGTACCACTTTGCTTAGAGGTTTTTGACTTTCTGAGATGTCTTCTTTGAGTATAGATTCCTTATACATTGATCATAAATCCTGATTTTCAGAATCATCCTCATTTTAACAGTTTGTTGTAATTTTCCCCATAAACCATTAAAATGTCCCAAAAATGCTGACATTTTGCTGTCTAGACCACTACTGTCCAATAGAACTTTCTGTGATGATGTAAATACTTTATAGAATATTGTTCTACTTAACAGTCAGTTATCTAATATAGTAGTAATTAGCCATATGTGGTTACTGATCTTATAAGTGTAGCTAGTGTAACTGAGGAACTGAATTTTTAAGTGAATGGCCACATATGTATTGAACTATTCAAGTCTACTTTATATCTCCCACACAGCTTTTATACTTGGAAGTAGCATAGAATCCCTTTATCAGACCACATAAATTGAATCACTGTTTTTGTAGCCCAGAATTTTTTAGTACTTGTAGGATATAAACAGTTTTACACTGAATCTGTAGAAGGAGAGAGGAGGAAAAGAAGTAAGGTAAAAGAAAGTGTTTTATTTTTATTTTTTTTCAAGTAACATCTTTTCTAGAACTTAGTGTCTTAGATCCAAAGCCCGAAATTATAAACTGGATACATTCTTGGTGAGGGTTACCTGTTTCAGTCTTATGTTTAACTGTTCTTTATCACCAGAGATGATTTGCTACCTAGTATTTGGTTGGTTGACCAAGATAGTGACATGATTAAGTTTGTGTTTATGGACCAGTCAGATCAACACACTTTGTACACCTTATTTTGGGGTCCTGGGTTCTAGTATAGCATCCTTCTACGTAATTTGGCCACCTGTCTGTAAATTTTACGATTCTTTAGATACAGATGCCATTCACTTAGAGATGATGCCAGTAGTGGTAAGTTGGTAGATGGTGTGGAGATGCCTCTTCTTCATCCTAGTAACCTAAAAGATGCAATGAGAAACCACCCCCTGTCATCTCCATTGCACAGGGTTTGTGTTTACTTGATCCAGGTTAAGGCCCTGATTGCTTGCTGATTTCTCTTCAGTAGATTTTGCTGCAGACCAGTATATATGATAAAAAGCAGAAGTATGTGAGAAGTGAACCATGGATCAGTAGTATTTATGACTGATTTTTTTAAACTGTTGCAATCTGATCATCTCTTTATATTTAGACTTATAGCTTGAGCATATTACAGATTTGAGGGTTCTGAATCTCAGCTATTCTTCCTAGGCTGACTTTTGTATGACTGTTCATATATTTCAGTTTTCAGCTCCACTAGTATACTATACACAAAACCTCTTTTACCCTGCCCAAGAAAGGCCTGTTCGTTCATGTTTCCAGCTCCAGTCTCAGTGAATAGAATCCTGTTGGTTTAGGATAATGGAAAGTGACAGGGCAAAGAATGGCACTGGCATTTATAGACATTTTTTACACAAGAGGCTGTAAATTGTCCCTTCTTTGGACTATTTGAGGATAGAATGGCATGCCTTTTCTCATATAAGCCTCATGGTGACTATGGGCTGAGAAACCTCCCACTCGTCAAACAAAACAAAACCCAGATAAATAACCTCTGCCTGATTGGCTCTGATTGATCACTAGCTAGGTTTTCAGTCTTGTGCTTGACTGGTTGTTTTTTTATTGTTTTTTCCTGTCACTTTTCCATGCCTCCCAAGAGAAATAGTGTTTGGGTTAGTCCTGTTGGTGAAGGACAGGATTTGGCCTGGCACATAAGAAACTCATCTCTGAAAGGAATGAGAGATAGAGGGAATAGATGGGAAGCCAAATCAGTTATACAGGGTGGGGCAGAAGTTGGTTTAAAATTGTAAGAATGAGAAACACAGTTTATTCTTGTATTATTATTTATTAATTATTGTATTATTTTCCATACGAACAACTGTAAATCTACTTTTGCCCTACCTTGTATATTGGTCATAGGACATCAGTTTTGGTAAAAACTTAAGTCTGGGCTTAGAGTTATAGTGTTAACAAAAGTAGCTAATTTGAGTTGATTTGTTTTGTTTTATTTTGTTTTCAAATATTAGCATATTTGGGAAAGTAAAAATTGATACTTTAGGAAGTTGCAGGAAATCCAGCCAGGTAAGTATCTAAAAAAGAAAAAACCCAGGCACTAAGCAGAGGGGTATGTGTTACTGCTTCTTTTCTTTAATATCTTTTTCTTTAATTTTAGAGAGAGAGGGAGAGAGAGATAGAAACATCCATGAGAGAGATGAGAAACATCAGTCGGCCACCTTCTGTTCACCCCTCTCCCAGGATGATACTCAATCCACTGAGCCGCACCAGCCAGGCTGCTTCTATTCATTAATAGTAGTAGTAGAAACTATAAGTATTTTGTATCCCTATTAATCTTAATACATTTTCCT